AGCCATAGCAAAACTTTCCTCCGAACATTGATCACACCTTCCCTGACTTTTAAATTAATTAATGTACAGATTAAATGGAACCCTTAAAACTGTAGGAAAAGCAGTGGTTATTGTGGGCATTTGGAACCTAAGTATCTGAAATGTCATCATGGCATGTGTGACCTTTGTTATGTTTCCAGCTGCTCTGCTTCCTGTGACTTTTCCTCCATAGCTTTCTGCAAAGACAACAGAAGACCATCCAGCTCCCTGTGCCCCTCTCATCAACAGGGGATACCAGCATGGTGTTCTGGGCTCCTGGCTTGGGAGTGGGCTGGCCCATATTTTGAGGCCATTTGGAGTGTGATCCAGTGGATGGAAGATTTCCTGCATCTGTCCCTCCCTCTGTCACTCTTTTAACTCAATTAAAGAACATTTTCAAAAGAGCAATATAAAGGCAGAGATTCAGAGGCAAATAGCCAGCCAGAAATATCCAAAGTTGTCTTTCTGTCCTACAAGGGCTACTGATGGGCCAGGCAGAAACCAGCACCAGGAGATTTATCCACAGTGCCGACCCCAAGGTATATTCTTTCTATATCTGATTTGTTTAGGGTTTTAATCATGAAAGAATGATAAATCTTATTAAATGCTTTTTTTCTGCATCTATTTGGATGATCATATTGTTTTCATTCTTCACCCTGTTGATGCGGTTTATGACATTTATTGATTTTCGAACCTTGAATGCTTGCATCTCTTGGATAAATTCCAGTTGATCACAAGTATGATCTTTTTAATGCAGTGTTGAATTAGATTTGCTAATATTTTGTTGAGAATTCTTACATATATGCTCATCAAGGATAATGGTCTGTACATTTCTTTTTGTGTTGTGTATTTGGTTGTGGTGTCAGAGTTATAATGTCCTCATTAAAAGAGATTGGCAGAGTTCCATCCTTTTTGATATTTTGGAATAGTCTGAGAACTACTTGAGTTAATTCATCTTTAAATGTTTTGTAGAGTTCAGTTGTAAAGTTGTCAGGTCCTGAAATTTTCTTTGCTGGGTGATTTTAAATTCCTGTTTCAGCCTCATTGTTAGTTATGCAGCTGTTTAGATTGATATAATTGTCTTGATTTAATCTTGGTAGGTTATATTAATCCAGGAATTTATCCATTTATTTGATATTTTCCAGGATGTTGGCATATAGATGTTCATAGTAGTTTCATATGATCATTTTTACATCTGTGGTATCAATTATAATGTCTCCCTTTTCATCTCTAATTTTATTTTTTGAGTTGTTTTCTCTTTCTTTGATACTTTGCTTGTATGCTAAAAAATCCAATTTGCTATTAAGTTGTTCTTTTGAATTGTGCTTTTCCTTAGTTTCAATTACATTTGTTTCTGCTCTGAATTGTTATTTACAATCTCCTGTTTGTTTTGTGTTTGATTTGCTCAGTAATATGTGTTTTTTTAACTTTGTATTATTCTACTTGTTATTGATTTCTACTTTTATTTCCTGCTTTTCCCAGGCATTACCAGCACACTGTATCAGAAGTGGAGCAGTCGGGACATGAACCAGCGTCCCTATGCAATGCTGGCATCACAGGCAGCGGCTTTAGCCACTAAACAACAACACCAGCCCCAGAGTGACAGTTTTAAAATTTATGTATTCAGAAGTTTAATGGCAGCATACAAAGACGAGCTGTAGCTTTATGAGTAACATTATCATTTAAGTCACCCCACAGGGAAGATCCAGATTCCTGCTCATGCCCCTGGGGGGCAGTGGATGATGGTTCCTGCCACCCATGTGGGAGACACAGGTAAAGTTTCTGGCTGCTGGCCTTGGTTCTGCCCAGCCCTGTCTGTTGAAGATATTTGGGTAGTGACTAGATTAGGAATCTCTGTTTGTGTTCTGTGTCTCTGTGTGTATGTCTTCCTTCCCCCCTCTCCCTATGTCCCTCTTCCTTTCCCTCTCCCTCCCTCTTTCACTCTTTCAGATAAATAAATATTTGCAAATAAACAAGTTACCAAATCACTTCAGGTATCTTATAGATAATGTGGGCTCCACAAAGTTGAAAGTGATGGAATAATGAGCTGTCCCTAATGTCTTTTAAGCAGGATCCAAAACTAAATAGGGTACATGGGTTGAACATGGGACAGCTAGCTCTGCGTTGATGAACAGTCTTCACAGACATCAGTTCTCAAGAGCAGAAAAGGAACGTGGTAGGTATCCCAATGCATGTTATGCAGTTAGTACAACCTTAATAGCAATCCTCATCAAGAAGCATATAGGAAATAAATGTAAATGCTAATGCCATTCAAGGGCCTCCACATAAAAATACGAAACAAATTGCCAAGACATAGCTTATTCCAGAGGGGCAAAGCATCCTAAGTGAATTATTCCCCCTAGGAATGCAAAGCAAAATATAACAACACGGAAGTTAGAAAACCTCTTGGGTCACCCCCATCCTGTTCCAGAGTGCTGTGGTTACAGCTGCACCTTTGATGCCAGCTTCCTTGCGCCGCCTCCTGGGTGGTAGGGGGTGGGGAGTGGAGCTTCCTCTGGTCTGCAGACTTGCTGCTCAGTACAGAAATAAATAGAAAAGTCCAAAAGAGCACAAAAGTAAAAGCAAGTTTATTTGCGAGAAGTGACAAAATCTCCCAGAAGAGATCTGAGAAGGGGCCCCAGAGCTGGGATCCATTGCCCCTGGGGGCTCGTCTCTTTGGTGTTAATTTTCTCCCTCCCCCCTTATCTGGGAGATACTGGCCCTTCACCTGGAGCATGCGGTAGGGGTTGCATTTGAATTGGCACCCCTGCTTCTGTTCCTGAGAGTGGAAGGGGTCTGTAATTGAGGAGGGGTGGGATTTCATAGAATTTGCCCAAGGTCCATTCTGCCCTTTTTAAAAAAAGATTTATTTAATTATTTGAAAATCAGAATTACACAGAGACAGAAAGAGAGGCAGAGTGAGAGAAGGTCTTTCATCTGCTGGTTCACTCTGCTTGGTCCACAATGGCTGGAGCTGTGCCGACTGGATCAGAAGCCAGGAGCCAGGAGATTCCTCTTAGTCTCCCACGCAGGTGCAGTGGCACAAGCACTTGGACCATCTTCTACTGCTTTCCCAGGCCACAGCAGAGAGCTGGATGGGAAGTAGAGCAGCTAGGACTCGCACTGGCAGAGGCCCTCTTTCCCTAAGTCTCCCCCTTCTGACAGAGCTGCTGTCAGACATACAGTTGAAGAAAACTCTAGCTGTTTCGTGCTATACAGGGGCGAAGTGGAGAAGTCATCTGATCCCTGTGGGAAAGTCAATCAAGTGGGCCTTGGTAGAAGTCATCAGGAACGGACATCTGAGGTTCCATCAGAAGGACCGTCTGCATCTAAAGAGCACCTGTCATGCCGGAGATAAGTTGTACCACTTGATTAAAGAAGCAGGGACCAAAAGCACAAAGGAGGAGAAGGGAAAGTATCACAGGTATGAAGGGGTCAAAAATACTCCAGACAAATCTTTATTGATTAAGGAGCCCAACCATGTTTCTTGGTTTAGATTTTGATTGTGACCTTGAATAATTCTTTGAGCTCAGGTAGGTCACTGTCCAGCTGTGGGAGTTGGTTATCCAGAAACAACATGCTTCATGAAGCATTGCACAGGTTCTACCCACCTCAGGGGAGAGTAGGTCGCGTGCTCCTCAGGTGAGGACCAAGACAATCAGGATTGGGAACCCCAGAAGAAAACAGAGTCCGAATACCTCAGCTATATGTACCGGAATAGGGCCATTAGGTTTTGTGAGAACAGGCTTACTTATCGGAGTTGAGGTCTGCCTGAAGGGGTGTTTGACACCGTCCACTGGTTCACATGAGTAGTGAGGCTCCACGGTTGACTCTGAAGACACGAGGATACCCCCAGGGTCTGCGTTCGCAGTCCAGGACTTTATTCTTGACTGTTGGATCCCTGCATCAAAGCCTGCAACCTTAACTGGTTGCACTGGAGAGAATTACTGGGAAAGGCCCCTCCCAATTGGGTTGGTTAAAATCCCGAGAGTCTAAGGACTCAATCAAAATGCAGGTCCCTGAACAAAAAGGGGGCTCACTTTTGTGATGTGGCCCTGGCTCAATTGAGCGGAATGCCAAAAGGAGCCACTGGAACTCTGCCCACTTTTGGGTCTGGCTTGCACCTCCCTGGCTTCCTCACCTAGGAGAGTATCATGGTTCAGAAAGGGCCATCCACACATGACATCAAACGGAGTCAGACCCTAAAATCTGGGAGAATTTTTGACTCGAATCCAAGCTATGAAAAGTAGTCGAGTCCACTGTAGCTTGGTTTCCTGAGTTAGCTTAAGTAGGTGTTGTTTAAAGAGTCCATTAGCCCTTTCCACATGCCCTGGTGACTGAGGGTCACCACACACAATGGAGTTGGTGGTTAGTTCTGTTTGGCCTGAGTGAGTGCTCACAGAGGAGCACCACACTCTGAGCCCAAGGTCTTCAACAATCCTCCTTTGTCCTGGACCCTTTTTGATACCCTAATGGGTGAATTGTAGGGGCTAACACATTCCTTCAGTACTCCGTGATTGAGGAGGCCCTGAATGCTGGGTTCTGAGCCTCTTGTACCTCCGGACAGACAGGATATTGTTTCTCATGTGGAAAACCTGTGGATCTTTAAGTCTGACTTTTATGGGAATTGCTGTCTTTGCCTGTTCCATAGTTTCTTCATCTGACCATATCTGAGGGTCTCCTTTTCCTGGATGAGGGTATCACAGCCTGTGACTCCTGATGCTAACAGGAGTCTGGGAAAGGATGTCTCGGCCTAAAGTGGGCAGTGTTTGCAGTACTGTTAGAAAGGGATGGGATGATGCCTGAAGTGCTTGGGTCACTGCCACCCACATGGGGGACATAAATTGAATTCCTGGTTCCTGGCTTTGTCTCATCCAAACTTGGCTGCTGTAGGCATTTAGAGTATGAACCAGTGGTGGAAGATGCGATGGCTCCTCCTCTCTCCTCTCCTCTCCCTCCCTCCCCTCACATAATTAGAAATAAGTGAATAAACATAGAATCGTACCAGTGTAATACACCAACTTTATGGATTCACGGTGGAAGAAGGTCTAAGATCATCCTAGCAGTCACACTACAAGTGACTGATGAAAGTTAGCAGTACTCAAGATAAGTATTCTCAGCAAACTGGGAACAGAATGGGGCTTCCGCCGCTCTCCTCCAGGGACACTGCACCACCTCACCAGATGTGAGTGGCCACCCAAGCGTTGGCACCATGGTGGCTCCAGGACCGGTCACCCTCATCTGATCGGGCCCTGGTAAAGTGGAGACCCGAGAGCAGGTGACTGGTGCTCCTGCGCACCTGTGCACACGTCCTCCTGGACGGGGCTGGGGAGCGACTGCAGCCTCAATCTTCAGGGGAACCAATGGGCCTGGTGTCACTGAGCAGGTGGCCCGTGGGCCTGGTGCCGAGAGGGAGTGGGCACATGGGATGGACGGGGGCGTCTGAGCTGCGCTGCAGCGGCTTTTCCAAACTGCGTGGGGAGTATGTCCGCTGCCCTTAGGACAGTAGAATCACTGCACCGACCTGGACAAAGGTGGGCAGAGAGGCTGCCTCCAGCTTCCAGGTTTCGCTGTTTCCTCTCGGGATCCCCCTGAGTTCTTTATAAGACGGGCCGGGCTGTGCAGGGGAACCATCTTAGGAAATGCAGGGCCCCAAGGGAACCAGCCACAGGCCTGCCCTGAAGCTCCACTCTGCAGACTGCACAGCCTAGAGTGCCCGGCCACCACCTGTGTCACTGGCACAGCCTAGGATGCCCTGACACCGCCCATGTCACCGGCACAGCCTGGACTGCCCTGACACCCCCCGTGTCATCGGAATGGTAATTGGGTTCCTGACATCCACGCAGGAAACTCGGATGGATTTCCTGGCTCCTTGTTTCAGCCTGAGACAGCCCCGCTGTTGCAGACATCTGGGAAGTGAACCAATGGAAGCAAGTTCACTGGCTCGGTCTGGCTCTAGCTGCCTGCCTCTCTCTCTGCCTGTGTGTGTGGTGCCATCTCTCCCTACCAACAGCAAATGTATACTTTTTTGAAGATTGATGTTTTGGTTTGAAATCATATTCTGAACACAACACTGATACAACTGTTAATGTCGTCACATTGGAACTGCCTAAGTGAAATGCAACGAAAAGTCAGTATTGCATTTGTTTTCTCCTTGATTGGGCAGATGTGCAAAAATATTTCTTTACATTTAATGTTTCTTTTAGAAGCAAGTGTAATCATTTGTTTCCAGTTTTCACATTTATTCCACCTGTACATATGAATAACACTTCCTTTTAAATTTGAAAGCATTCATGTTTGTATAGTGAATTACACTGTCACACAAATTTTCTGCTATCACCATCATTTTTGCCATCAAACTGTGATGATACATATGCCAAGTCTCACCGTTTGAGACAAGAAAGGAAATGATGAAACGAACAGAGAATGGAATGGAGACAGAAATGAGAAGCAGAGTGAGACACCTGGAAAAGACAAGCATTTGTTAATAAATGGAACTGTGTTTGATCGACAACTTGTCCACATGGAAAAATCCATGGTGCCTGTGATGTTTAGATTCTGGTACTACTGGGATTTGATAAATAATGTATGATTTCTAGCATATTAAATACTTTCTCCGTAAAATCACAGAATAGGATATGTTGCAAATGATATCACAGAAATACAAACGGCTATTTGGGACTACTATAAACAACCATACACCTACAAATTGGAAAACCTAAAATAGAGATGAATTAATTTCTGGATATCCATACCTTACCAAAACTGAACCATGAAGACACAGAAAACATGAAAACACCAGTAGCTCAGTAATGAAAAGTCGCCAGCAAAGAAAATCTATGGACCAATGCTGAAGTCCATCGAACTTTTAAGGAAGAACACCAATCCTTCTCAACCTGTTCTCAAATATCAGAAGGGAGCAAATCCATCCAAACTCATTCTCCAACACCAGAAGTATCTTGAATCCAGAGTCAGACATGGATAAAAAAAAAAAAAGAAACAAATAAAGAACACTATAGATAAATATCCCCAATGAACATAAATGTGTAAATTGTAAAGAAAACATTAGCAAACTGAATCCAACAACACATTGAAAAATTCATTCATAATGGACAATTGAGATTTTTCTCAGGGATTGCAGCATGGTTCAGCATTTGTAAATCTATAGGCATACTATAGCACATCAACAGGAGGAAGAGGCTGGCGCCGCGGCTCACTAGGCTAATCCTCCACCTTGCGGTGCCAGCACACCGGGTTCTAGTCCCGGTTGGGGTGCCAGATTCTGTCCCAGTAGCCCATCTTCCAGGCTAGCTCTCTGCCATGGCCAGGGAGTGCAGTGGAGGATGGCCCAAGTGCTTGGGCCCTTCACCCCATGGGAGACCAGGAGAAGTACCTGGCTCCTGCCCTCGGATCAGCGCGATGCGCCGGCCGCAGGGCGCTGGCCGCAGCGGCCATTGGAGGGTGAACCAACGGCAGAAGGGAGACCTTTCTCTCTGTCTCTCTCGCTCACTGTCCACTCTGCCTGTCCAAAACAAACAAACAAACAAACAAAAACAGAAAAACAAAATACAAAAAAAAAAAAAACAGAAGGAAGATAAACATCATATGGTCATCACTATAGACACAGAAAAAGCATTCAGTAAAATTCAACATCCATTCATGATAATAAAAACGAAAACCTTGGGCAAAATACTATAGAAAGAAAACTCTTCAAGATAATAAAGGCTGTACATGACAAAAGCACACCAAATATAACACTGAATGGGGAAAACCTGAAAGCTTTTCATGTAAGATCTGAAACCAAGCAAGGATTCACTCTCACTGCTGTTATAACATAAATACTGGAAGTTTTACCCAGAGCCATTAGGCAACATGAGCAAATAAAAGATATACAAACAGGAAAGGAACAAACCAAGTTATTCCTGTTAGCAGATGACATGATTCTATATACAGAGGCACCCAAAGACTGTACCAAGGAACTATTACAACTGATAAACAAATCCAATAAAGATGCAAGATGCAAAAGCAATACACAAAAATCAGTCACATTTTATACCCATTCTAGAAAAGTCACATTTCAAGAACATATTTACTCTTAATTATATAACATATTCAATATCTATTAATCTCTTTTCCACACTCATTGCTGGCTTTTTCCATTTTCTTCAGGAATATAGAAACTACTGTTATATTATATTACTATAGAAAGACAAGTACCTTTAGTTTATTCATTGGATTACTTCTCCATTTACTAATGTAGCACTTGTCTTTATTAAGTTTTCCCTTCCGTTTCCCTTTGATTTATTAACTCTGTGGCTCTTATTACTAATATCCATATTGTGTGGTCATGTTTTAATACCTCTTTATTTAACATTTGTCTTTTTATCATACATATTTCATGTATATGAACTTTGCAAGACTTCCTTTCTGTCAATTTCAGTAGGCTCCTGGAAGTAGTGTTAAAACTGCCCTTTAACTCTTCCCCTCCCGGTTTCTCTCCCCCTCCCCCATCTCCCTCTCCTCTCCCTCTCCCTGACTCTCTCTTCCTGTGTATCTCTGCTTCATACATAAAAAATAAGTTTTTAAAAAGTGGATGGACATTTGGCACAGTGGCTAGGACGCTATTTGGGACATTGACACACTGCACTAGAGTTCCTGGGTTTGGGTTCTGATTGCACTTCTGAACAAACTTCCTGATATTGTGAACCCTGGATACAACAGATGATACAGCTAAAGTGCCTGGGTCCTCGACACCCCCATGGAAAATCCCAAATGAGTGCCAGTCCTAGACATATCTGTTGTGGGCATTAGGGGAGTGAGTGAGCAGATGATGGATGACCTCTCTCTCTCCTCTCTCTCTATCTCTCTCTCTCTCTATATATATGTATATATACATACACACACACACATACACGCATATCCTTTTGTTTTTTAAGATTTTTTTTTTATTTGAAAGGTAGTGTTACAGGGAGAGAGTGAGAGACAGAGAAAGGTCTTTCATCCCTGGTTCACTCCCCAAATGGCAGCAACAGCTGGAGCTGGGTGGATCCAATCCCAGGAGCCAGGAGCTTCAAATAACAAAAAATGCATTATGTTTTTCATAGAAACATAAATTATAACAGGGTGTGAAAAGCATTAGCTGTTGGTTAGAAGGCTTATACTGCTAAGTAAGAAAATATTTTCATACATTTCACTTCAATATGGCTTGGACCCAGTTTGTTTCAGTTATCTGAAAACATGTCAGGGTGACAGTCTTCTAAAGGCTGACTAGTCATCCAATGGTCTTTTTATGTGAACACTGTTATTAAAGTAGAATTAATGTTATCTCTATGGTATTATAAATGGTTTAATATCATGAAAAACAAAGACATATAATGTTGCACCTTAATGAATTACATACCTGCCTCTGGCACTGTAGTGCTCTAGTTGTGAGGTGCTGTCTCATTGAATTCAGGACCATTTTCATATACATCTCCAGGGTCAAGCTGAAGATTTTCCTGGACATCTGGTTCCACGTGGGGCCCTTAGAGATAAAAAGGTTACCGAGAGACAATAACGAGATGGCAGAATCGACGACTTTTCTTTCCTTATGTCCAGGATTTCAGCAACAACAAAAAAATCCATACCCAGATCAGGAGCACATACCCCATTACCCAATGTACTGCACGCAGGCATGAACACTCTAGTTAATGTTTCTCACTGGAAAGTATTTATCCACAGCATTTCCCAGATGAAGTAGAGACTGGCCTTCTAGATAGAGTGCATCTGAAGCCAATGGGGTGCACAAACAAGAGACCTGTGTGAATCTGAATGGGAACGTGTGTACTTCCTTTCCTTCCCCACTCACCCAAGTCAACTAATTCAAATGTTCAAATTCTTAATGTAACTAGTCTGTCTGCATACACAGCACCCCAAACTTTCACTGCTTGAAGCCAATGGAATGGATCCAGAATCACCTCGCTCTAGCTATGGACAAGGTTGTGCTTTCCTGTGAACACAGGACCACGGAGAATGAAACGTGTTTAAACAAATGAGCGGAAAAATCTAATTGTGCTTTATCTCTGTCCCTCTCTCTGTGTCTCTCTGTGTGTGTTTGGGGGCGCAAAATCTAATATTACTGATACTTTATGAAGAAGATCTTATCATTTGTGTCAACATGGAAGATCCTGGAAGACATGATGCTAACTGAAATAAGCCATAGGCAGAAAGAAAAATACTGCAGAATCTCACTGAGGTGGGGACTCTGAAAATGAATACATGGAAACAGAGTAGAATGTTGGCTACCAGGAGTGTTGGATAGTGAATTGGGAAATGTACATGCAAGGTAAAAAGTTGCAGGTTAAATAATACTAGAGATACAAATCCAACGTGTGTACTAATTAACAATAAATTACTACAACTTTAAGTTTACTGATAGAAACATTTTAGGAGAGAGCATATGAAGAGATTGATAGTAGTTCTTTGGGATCACTTACATATATTTATCAACAAATAATGTTGTATACCTAAAATACAAAAAATAAAGGATGAAAGATTAGGGCCCGTGCTGTGGTATAGCAGGTAAAGCCGCTGTGTGCAGTGCTGGCATCCCATATTGGTGCTGGTTCGAGTCCCGGCTGCTCCACTTCCGATCCAGCTCTCTGCTATGGCATAGGAAAGCTGTAGAAGATGACCCAAGTCCTTGGGCCCCTGCACCTGCATGGGAGACCTGGAGGAAACTCCTGGCTCCTGGCTTAGGATCAGCACAGCTCAGGCCGTTGCGCCCAACTGGGGAGTGAACCAGTGGATGGAAGACTCTCTCTGTCTCTCTCTCTCTCTCTCTCTCTCTGCCTCTCCTTCTTTCTCTTGTGTAACTCTGACTTTGAAATAAAGAAATAGAATGAAAATATAGTTAAGCAGTAAGACATGAAATGTGAAAAATAAAATGGTAAAATACATTCTGCCAGTGTTGTGAAATCAAACCTGCAGGTAAATGGGATGCGTAAGATCCCAGAATCCTTATTTCAAGATTCTGTTGCCAAAACGCAAGGGGAAGTCATATGTCCCCATTGTTATGCTTTTTCTCCAGTCACGATTTCCCTCAAACTACTTTCCATTACTCCGACTTGATGTTATACTCGAAGTACCAAATCATTATTATTTTGGGTCTGTCCGATCCAATAAGAATGTGAGACCAAGACTAAAATTAAATTTCTGGAGAGTATTTAGATTCCAAGTACCTGACATGTAATATGGCATGAGTAGAAACCAGTAAGTATGGCATGAGAACATATGTTAATAAAAGATTAATCTCTTTAAGGATGCCTCCATTGGCACAGGTGCTTGGTGTAGCTGTTCAGCCACAAGTTAGAATGCAGACACTGTATATCAGAGGGGCTGGGAATGAAATCAGTGTAGCAAAGAAGATACCTGCATTCACCGGTTTTTCTACCATGCTATCTGCAAGAACTAAGGAATGGAAGCAACATAGATGCCCATCAACAGATGAACGGATACAGGAAATGTGGTCTGTATACACAATGGAATTTTATTCAGCGATAAAACAATGTTATCCTAATATATGCATAAGAAAATATGGAAGAGTGAGATTGCCAATTCAAGAAAAGCCAGACACAAAAAGCAATCATCCCATGTATTAGCTCACATGTGGAAGCCACAAATAATTTCGACCTGAATGTTGTAAAATACTGATTTATAGGAGATTGTGAATGCCGGGGCATCTGATAACTCGTACCAAGAGACAGAGAAGGAATGCACTCTAGTGTTTTACTGCACAGTGGGATGACTGTAACTAAGAATAGCCTGTCCTACAGCCTGTGAATAGATAGAGAAGAGGCCCTCCATGGCTCCAAGCATAGAATGATGACAGGGACAGACTAAAATCCATTGCTTTGTCTGACTGGTACACATGGTGTACATTTGAAATGTCACATTGTAACCCGTAGATATGTGGAGCCATCAGGTGCAAATCAGAAAAATAGAACACTATTTAAAGAGAGGGAAATGTTACATAACCTTACTTTATCAACATCCATTGAATACTTGTATCCATGTATCAGAGGGTACCCCATAAATATGCACAATCAAGAATAATTGAAAATAAACAATTAATAAAGTAATTAAGATGCCACTGTCATGAATGATAGGGATAGAGAAGTTCACGCAGATTAAATGGGACAAACTTTACACTAGAATCAAATGCAATGGATTAGACTCTGGATGACAAAAATATGTACAAAGGAAATTACTGGGACAGATAGGGAAATTTGAATGTAGACTGCATCTTAAACAATTGCATTATTGAACAATTAAATTTCCTGAATTATAGAATTATACACTGATTTTCAAAAAGAATGACTTTATCCCTTGGATTTGCACACACACAGGGTAATGATGTTTCATACTACCTGAAAATTAATATAAGTGGGTTTGCATCAGAACAAAAATAATATTAATAAGTATATAGTCATGTTAATATATGCTTCTAATCAGGGCAGAAGGGAGACAAATTGTAGGTGTGGAGAGAATGGAAGCAGGAAACCCACAGGGCCTGGAGCATGACACTTTGTGACTCTAGATGAAAACTCTGGGAGATTTTATGACAATTGTCAACTTTTGTATAAATGTAGATTTCCAAAACCTGAAATACAAATGAACGAATATGCAAGAGCTAGATTATAATTCAGAGAGACAGCACTTATTTTTGCAATATGGGCAGCAACTAGGATTGGACTTTGCCTTCCTTGCTTTCCTGTATTATAAAGCCATATTTTAAACAAAGAAAGGCAGAACAAAACACACTGCATCTACTCCTCCAAGGCCATAGTGTACTAAGAGGAGTCAACGTTAACTTTCTCAGACATCTGAAATCTACACCATGCATGGAATCTGAATTATAAATGACATACACTTTTTTGCTGTAAGATTTGATGAGTGGATTTGTAGGTCTATGCTAAATATAATCATGACACTCACCCCTTCCCAGGGTAAGCAACACTTATTTTGTGAAAAGAAAGGCATATTAGGTACTTATTTCACATTTCATGAACGAAACCCATGTGGAAGAAAGTACCAAATATAAGAGCAAAATTATTTGTGACTCATGGAAAAACTACTATCTTACAGCGAGAATAGAAAGTGGGGTGTAAAGAAATGAATGGGCATTGTTGGCAGTCACATTTGGAAAGACAGCGAATTGCTAAAAAAACAAAACAAAAAAGTATACCATGAAATATGCAAATGCTTAGGTTGAGACTACTACTCGCAAAGAAATAATTCGGCACATAGCAATGTGATGAAAGTTGCATTGATCCAATCCCACAAGAATTTGTGTGGCTTTAAAACGCCTTTAAAAATCATAGTAACTTGAAATAACTTCAAAGCCGTTCAGGAAAAGGGACTGGCGTGACACTGTGGGATAAACCACCACTTGCAACAATGGCACTTCACGTTAGAGTGTTGATTCAAGTCCTGGCTGCTTAGTTTCAGATCTAGGTTCCTGCTATTGTGCCAAGAAAGCAGCTGATGATGACCCAAATGCTTGGATTCCTGCCAGCAATGTGGGAGATCTGGATGGGGTTCCTGGCTCCCAGCCTGACTCAATCCCAAATATCTAAAAATTTTAAAAAGAAGTCTTATAATGAGGAAAGCACAAAGCTGTAATGTATATTCTTCAACTTTCCACCTAATATGCAGGAACTGTTTGAGATACCTTTGTAATGTTAGTGTTATTTCCTCCTGTGCCATAATAAATGAGACATGCATATCCCTCACCCTCAAAAGGCCTTTTCGTTCTCCTTCCCTTTACCTTCAGCCTCAGGTTCTCCCTCCTCTTCTATATCTTGATCAACTGGAATCTCCTGATTTTCAACTGCTGGCTCCTCCAGTTGAAGTACTTCAGCACCAGATTGCTGGGGCTATTAGGTTGAAATTATAGAAATAAACAGTCTTGTGGAAACACATGTGATAACCATCTATAACACATATGTATGCATAATAATCATTTGAGAAATTTCTTCAACATGATCCTACATCCTTATTCTGAATAAAATTAGTCCTCCCCCTGAGAGGTGTCTCCCAGAAGAGTTACCTCCAATGCGCGTGGGAGTTATTTTTTTCTGTGCTGGGATGCACGTGTGCTCTCTACTGTGAGTAAGCGTGAGAGTGAAATCACTGACTACATCCCATGGGAACATAAAGAGCATCCATGAGGAATACAGCAGATGTAATTGTCCTGGGTGAATGTTTCCTTTGCGACACCAAGTGACAGCCGTCATCAACGCAGAAGACCTTTATCAGTGTATTTTGCTACTCAGTAAGACTTTCCCAAAGATAAACTTGCTAACAGAAAACATTACACATTGAAGCACTCACCTCCACAGGTTCAATTTGCTCTTGGAAACTTTCTTCTGCATTTCCTCCTCCCATAGCTCTAGATGTTGCTCTTGTGCCACTCATGTTTCTCAACGAAAGCAGAATATTGTGATTTGGAGAATGCATTTAAGAGAACTGCAGTATTTGAACATTTGCATGGCCAAACGTCAATTTGTAACTTTTAAATATGTTGAGATAACTTTCAAAAATGTCCCTGGATATGCATGCATATCCACCCTTTCTGATCCTTGGTAACAGCACTTCCTCGGACAAGTCTGACACAGAAAGGCGTAAGGACAAGACAGAGGTCCTAGCTGATGCTATCTGTCGCATCACTGGATGTCCCGTATGGAGACATTCTTGGGAAATCTGCTACACCATGAAAACTCGAGTGACTATCCTATTTGTCACAACCGCACTAACGAGGCCAATTTGTGATCCCAAATAGTTTTCGTTGAGATGCACAGCTCCATCCCTCCTTCTCGTGGTGTTTCTGCACCGACCAGGCCAAAGTGAGAAGCTGGGATAGAGGGCGATAGGGACGCCTCTCCCTGGGCATCTGGGCCTGCGCTTTACGGATTTTGGAGATGCTGTCACCACCTCGGTGTCCCCACTCTCTATGTCCTTCCCTTAACATCTGCCCAGCCTTACGTCTGGTTTCCTCTGAGGACTTGTGATCTGCCCCCTGTGAGCCATACCGGGATCCTCTGGGACACAGATCTCTCCAACAGCAGCCTCAACCCTTGCCCTGTCTTCACCTGCCCCACTGCCCTCCAGGCAAACCTTCCGCCCTTGTCCTGGCCCCAGCCGGAATGTAACAAACATGGTGGCAGCGCCATCTGTGCGCAGGCCGACGTCCTTGAAGTCCTTCTTGTTCTCAGTCCCCGCACCTCATCGCCCAATCCCGCGAAGACGCTTGGCGTCTTCTCATACTCACTCACACGTGAACTGATCAGACAGCGGCTACCTACTCACTGTGTCTCAGGCAGGCAGCAAGACAGAACACAGCGGGAAAATGGCGCCCGCGGCGCGGATGTGCACAGAGCACGCCAACGCGAAGGCTCGTGCGCAGCAGGGGACGTGTGCAGCAGTGTGACCCTGCGCCAGTCAGGACGCTCGTGGGCGGGACTTACACTCGGAAGCCTCAGCAGTCCTCAGCTACCAAGGAATTGCTCCCCACTGTTTCCTCCAACAGTCTGATTCTTCCAGGAGAGCCCTGGGTTCTCCTTTGGGAAAAAACATCTCAAATAGACCTGCTGTGACAGAAGTAGCTTTTAAATATGTCAGCGCTGGGGCTAGTGCAGCTGCCGCTGGTGACAGGATGCCAGTTTGTGGGAGACCCGGATGACGCGCATGGCTTCTGGCTCCTGCCGCCGCTTGGGGAGCGACCCAGAGGATGGACGATCGCTTTGTCCCCCTCTCCCCCTCTCTCCCTCTCTCCCTCTCTCGCTCTCTCGCTCTCCAACTCGGGTTTTCAAATTAATAAGTAAATATAAAATGTTAGTCTATTTTTATGTCGGCTTTCTCCAGTAATTTTCTGCCCCACCTGTGGCCGTTTTGCTTTTGTTGCTTTCATCATGCTTGCAAACACTTGGGTTTCTCTGGCTTCTGAGTTACGTTTTTTCCATTAACATCTGTAGGCCGGTAGCTCACCTGCCTGAATACGACTGGTCTGGTCCACGCAAGGTTCAGAACTATCCGATAGAGGTCCTAGGATGTAGGCACAGCCTATTGTCACAAGATGGATAGCAGCAGTGGTTATGCTCATCATACGCAGTGCTTCCTGAGCATCAGTCACCTGTCCTGTCCGCAGGGCAAAGCTGGCAGTATTACCCAACGCTCTCCCTCCACAGGGTCACTAGCATCTCAGAAGCGGAAAGGCCTTCCGAATGTTGGTACTTATTCTGAGGTCTTGTGTAAAGCATTTTTATCAAGGTGGGGCACAATTCACTTAGAATTGGACACAATTGGTGGTGTGATATTTTAGGATTCATGGACATACACAAAGACTGTAAGTTTTAGAAATTTTAATTGACGTGTAGTAGTGATTGTCCATAGCCAATGGATACGCTGTGCTTTTCCTTTTTCTAGAAATGTCCACAATGTGTAATAATCCCATTCAGGTAATTAGCATTAGCATCACCTCAGGAATTTATTATTACTTTGGGTTGTGCACGTTCTGCACCTTTTCCTTTAGCACTGTACATTTTCCATTCCAGGACTGCTAACTATAGAGCTATGTAGAGTACTACAGAAGAGTAGAACTTAGTCTTCCTTTCTAACTGTGTTGTGGCATTCATTGTCCATCCTCTATGCCCTTTCTCCTACCATCTCCACCCTCTGGTGACCTGCGCTCTACCTTCTGTTTCTGTGAGATCCACTTGTGTAGCTTCCAATGGGAGTGAGAATATACGCTGTTTGGCTATTTGTGAGCAAGGTAAGCATTTTAAGAAAAGCTAATCAAATACTTTGCAGGTTGAAAAACCTCATTTGACTTTTTATTCAGCAGTGCATATATATATTTCAAGGAGGTGCTGGAATAAACAAGGTGGTTTTCCTTTTTTGCAAACTTTACTTTCAGAAACAAGAGTTTCCTGTATTTGTAGTTATTTGATGAAGCAAGGAGCTATAAGCTATTTTTTATGCAGCCATTAGGATGGATCCGTGACTTCTGTTCAAGTTCATTTCTAAAAGTGTGGAAAAGTGAAAATAATATATGATGGAGAGTTTCCACAAGCATTAATGAACACCCTGATACATCTTAGCACTTTAGTGTGGGAAACAGTATGTGATATGGAAAATCAGGCTTGGTGCCTCCGTGATCAAATAGGTTTTTACAAATAAATTAAGCTACATTTTTTGTGCGACTCCAGTAGATTCTGTCAAGTCCGGCTTTTTAACGTTTTTTTTTCTTTTTTCTTTTTTTTTTTGACAGGCAGAGTGGACAGTGAGAGAGAGAGACAGAGAGAAAGGTCTTCCTTTGCCGTTGGTTCACCCTCCAATGGCCGCCGCGGCCGGCGCACTGCGGCCGGCACACCGCGCTGATCCAAAGGCAGGAGCCAGGTGCTTCTCCTGGTCTCCCATGGGGTGCAGGGCCCAAGCACTTGGGCCATCCTCCACTGCACTCCCTGGCTACAGCAGAGAGCTGGCCTGGAAGATGGGCAACCGGGACAGAATCCGGCGCCCCGACCGGTACTAGAACCCGGTGTGCCGGCACCGCAATGCGGAGGATTAGCCTAGTGAGCCGCGGCGCCGGCCCAGCTTTTTAAAGTTTATACCTGGATTGTGAAAAGTCAACCGGACTTTGAATAGTGATTACTATAGGGTGTGAGTGACAGACAGGACTGGAAGGAATTTGGATCAATGGGTTCCAAATTAGAATCAGAAAAACAGAATAAGTTCCTAGTGTTGCACAGCACAGTGGGGAGACTGTACTTCACAGTACCCTAGTTTATATTGTACAAACAGATAGAAGAAAGAACTGCCAGGCCTACAACCATGAAGTAATGTCTCGGATCAGGAAATGTTCATTACCCAGTTTTGACCAGTACATTGCATACATAAAGTCAAATGTAACACTGTAGCCCTAAATATGTACCATTACTGTTAATAACAAAGTAAAAAGAAACTGTGAAACTCACACAAATGCTTTAGAAAGCCAGGGCTAAAGAGGAAGGATTCAAAAAGGGGGATGAGCAGATCTTCCAGAAAGATCAGTAAAAACACAAAAGAAGTGAAACAATATTAAAAAGTACTGATACTCTCAGTTCCAAATTAGAATAAAAGAGTTTTCAGTGACTGAGAGCAAAGAATAGCGTTTAAATTTATCAGGTAAATAATAGGGGAAAGTTGTTTATAAGTGAAAGGCCTAAATAGTTAATACAAGTATTCAAAGACTTAGCAAAAGAGTATTGCAATCTGAAAAATACCAAGAGTAAGGGGAAATGAAAATGAAAGCCTTGAAGGAACAAAGATGAATGCAGTGCAGCAAAACGTGCAAGACATGGAAAGGACAAAATAAATGTGGACGGTCAAATAGCTCATGAATGCATGACCAAAATATTGAAACGCAAAGTGTATTCAAAAGGAGCCAGGACTGCACACCTTTTACAATGGATAAATTTGAAAAGACTGTCCAAGTTTTGGTTAGAACATGGAGCATATGGAGGTTTTATACTCTGCTTTTGCAAATGCATTGCGCTATGGAATTTTTTGAAAACTATCTCGGCAATTTTCCAATACTGTTGTAAAGGAGAACCTCAGAGTGCTTTTTAGAAAGAACTTTATGGTGCAAGGAAAAAAAAAAAAGGAATAAAGTATCTTCAAAAATGTCAAGGAAAATGAATACTACCACAAATAGGTGCACATATTTAAACTTTTTCAATATTTATTTACTTGAAATGCAGAGAGAACAGAGAGAGAGAGACATCTTGTGTGTGCTCGTTCACTCCTGAAATGGATGCAAAAGCCAGGGTTAGGTCAGACTGAAGGCAAAAGCCTGGAACTTCATCTGAGTCGCCCACCTAGAATACAGGGACCTAAGTACTTGAGCCCTCACCTGCTGCCTCCCAGAGTGTGCATTAGCAAAGAACTGGATCAGAAATAGTCAGGATTCAAAACCAGGCACTCCAATATGGATGACGGTGTTCCAAGCCAGCCCCCTGAATTTCAAAATTTTTGGCACCAAATTAAATTTAGTTTTAAATTCTGGTTTTCCACAAACTTTTTAAAGGTACTCCATGGCTGTGGTGAATGTAATATAAAATAGAGGAAAAAATTTAAGAGCACAAAGATGGCAATAAGAACTTGTCTTCAATATCGTGATTCCTACATTGAAAACTGCATGAATAGCTAGTGTTGTGTCCCTAAATAAAATCATATTCTCTTATGTTCCGTCATGTCATGTGTAAAATGGGGATAATGAGGAGGGTAGTAATTTATTTTTTAGTGAAAAGGGAATATTTAGATCATTTTAAGTGTGAGATCAGTATGGTTGCTAATTTAGGTTTCAATTATGAGACAGAGGTGTCACACTGCCTTATATGACAGGATTAAAAACATTTATGGAAAACGGGATTAAAATAAAAACATAAGAAATAAACTTTATTTCTCAACACAAACTCCATCAGAAGCATGGCTTTTCTAACTGATAATACTAGTTATTTAGTAGGTCCCTGAACAACTGAAAGTGCTTGGATTTTAATAGAGGAAAAATGGGTTGTCTTTAATCTTTTAAAGTTTTTTATTAATTTACTGGAAAGGCAGAGAGAGAGAGAGAGAGTAGGAGGGAGGGAAAGAGGGAGAGAGGGAGAGAGAGAGAGAGAGAGAGAGAGCAAGCGATATCATATATCCACTGCTTCATTTCCCAAGGGCTGCAGCAACCAGGCCTAGGCCAGGCTGAAGCCAGGAGCCAGGAACATCATCTGGATCTCCAACACGGGTGGCAGGATGCAATCACTTGAACCATATCCTCTGCCTTCCCAGGCTCATTAGAAGGAATCTGCATCAGAAACAGATTGCAGCCTGGAGTTGAACTTGATGGAGTAAGGACAAATGCCTTAGATCTGTTTTTGTCCCTTGCCTGTGAGCGAGCTGACAGCAGATCCTAACCCCATACATTCTTTCCCAAGGTTCCTTGTTAGCCTCCCCCCAATCCTGTATTCTTCCTCTCAAGCAGGACACTCTGCCCACAGCCCCTGAACCTGTAAGACCCTACCTTACATGCCACTGACCCCTGTCTATGAAAACCCCGGCCTGTGAGGGAGGGGATGCTCTCTACCTTCTGTGGTAGTGGTCCCTCTCTCAGCCTTGAATAAACCTGTGCTTGTTGTGAGTTCCTGGTCTGCCTCTTGTTGCCTGGTTTGTGCCTCTTTTTTTTTTTTATCTTAAAAACTTATATTTTGGTGCCCATACAGGGAGGGGTGCGAGAGATCGGCCCTCTTGCAAACTGTGCTCCCATACAACCTCGCACGCCTTTCAGGCAGTCATTGGACAACCTGCTCTTGGAGCTAAGATCTCTCCTTCCACCTGATCAGGGGGAATATCGACCTGCTGCATGCTTAGAGCTCTGATACCCTCTGGGAGAGGGCCATGACTCTCCCCTCCTCCAAACTCACCATTCCCTTCTGCAGCAAACTGGAGGGGATGATCACGCGGTAACCTTTGAGGATCTGGCCTCAGGGCACCCCTTCACCTCCAGGGATACCCCTGAGCAAGGTGTGTGGTTGAATTTCTGCCCAGCTCTTGCTCTTCTCAGTCGTCTACCAAGTGCCTCTCCTCCGTGGAGGGAAAGTGAACTTCCCAGGCTCACC